ACTAAATACTTTTTTGCCCCACTGTAGCTGTGTGAATTGATCAGAATACCAAGTTATCTGTATTGATTTTCATGTGTAATTGTTCCTCTGAATAGAAAAAAAATGTACTGGCATGCATTTGGAGTTTGAAATGTGTTTTCTCTTGTCTCGTCTAATGAAAAACACTTGTAATAAAAAGTAAACTCAGGAGGTTTTAGGGGTTTGTAGATGAAGAAGGACAACAGAGCAGCTGCACTATCTTTGAATTAATGTGTCACTTTTTGTGTTTGTGTCTAAGAAGTAAGCGGAGTGTGTTACAGCTAAAGTGCGATGATTCATTGCACCCAGTGCTCCCTGCACTGGCCCTCTCTCTCCCTCTCTCGCTGGCCGTTGGTGTTTGAATATTCAAATGTTGCTGGTCTGAGCTCCATGCTGTTAGTAGCCCTGCTGTGCGTACACACTGAGATCTTGAGCAGCACTCAGAATACTTGGGGGTTTTTTTTGTTTATTTTTATATAGGCAGTGACTACCTTTTCAGCTCTTGCGTTGCTTCTCCAGCTCTTGGTAAGTTTGCTTGTTGAGAGTCACGTGCTGCAGATTTTCTCAGACAACTCCTTAATGAATGATGAATCTGTAGCAGGAACATGTTTGTAAAAAAATACTTTCTGTTCTGTTCATTTCTAATTCAAACCATATTTTTTCGTCTTGTTTCTCAGTTTAATATACAGGGGAGTGGTGTAACTAGACAGTGTTTTCTTTGTTAAGCAGAGGGACCGTGACCAAAATAAGTCCATATAAGTCCATGCCTTATAAGTGCAGCAGCACTGCTTCTTGACTAGGCCTTCTTGGCAAGACTTAAAAGCACTTGAGTATGGCCCTCATTGTTTTTATAAACAGTTTGTGATGGGCTCCTCTCGTTGTTAGTGCTAAGGGGTTTTTAACAGTTTTGGTGGTTAGTCCAGAGAAAAGTAATGGCATGTTTGGTTATATCAACACAGGCCACCTTCAGGGCTTATAAGGTAACTCTGTGTGGGGTCAAAGAAGCTTCTGTTTTTCCTTGTGTCCTTCAGATTCTTCGTCTGCCTGAATTTAGTATCTAAGCTTTAACTCCCTTCTTTATTGTTTAATAAATTGTCTCTTTTCTGGTACAGATTCCTCAGAGGGCCTGACCTCACAACCTTTGGTGATGACTGAGCTTGCTTCATCATCTGCAGTGTCTGTCAGCTCCTCCACCAGCATCCCTGCCACTACCTCTACCCTGATTCCTCCCTTGTCCTCATCCTCCTCTTCCACAGCTATTCCCCAGCCCAACAGCAAGCCCTGGAGGGGCAAGTCAGCAAGCTCCAAGCACACCTCTTCTAATTCCTCCGCCTCGACGAGCCCCCCCTCATCTGCCATGCAGTCTGTCAAGCAGGAGAAGGACACTTCCTGTAAGACTGCTCTGACGAATGAAGCTCCTCCTAAGGTGGTAACTCAAAAGTCAATGCTGGAGAAGCTTAAACTCTTCAACAGTAAAGGAGGCTCCAAGTCGTCCTCCATCTCTTCTTCCAATGGGGTAGGGCCCCAGACTGATAATGCTGCACCAACCAGGCAGCTTGGAGCGGGGCAGGTGGAGAGAGCTGAGACAGGCTCCAACACCGACCCCTTAGAGGAGAATGATGGCAATGTTCGGCCGGGACTCAACGGAACCAGCAATGGGAATTCTTGTGGAGCGGCCCCCTCTTCGGTTTCTACCACCGCAAGCAGCCCCAAAATAGCTCTGAGGGGCATTGCCCAGCGAACTTTCAGCAGAGCTTTGACTACCAAGAAAGGCTCAGTCAAAGGACTAGAAAAAGATAAGGAAAAGGGGAAGGAGAAAGGGAAGGAGGTAGGGAAGCGCACCTCTGTCCCTGATAAAACAGAGCTGAGGGGAGAGGAGCACAAGGAAGAAGTAGTACCTGTTGCTCTGGATGCTGACACAAATAAAAGAACCTCTAAAATTGCCAGTTTCATTCCCAAGGGAGGTAAAGTGGCCAAAAAAGAGAGTTCCACCCCTGCACAAAGCGGAATACCAAAGCCAGGAGGCAAACCCACAGGAGCTGGTGGTAAAGCTTCTTCAGTGAAGGAAGCAGGGGAGAGGCCTCGGAGCATGCGGTTAGGAGGGGGTCTCGCCATGCACCGTGGCCCCCTGGACAGAGACGGGGACAGCAGACACTCCAGCTCTACCTCCAGCCTGGCCTCCACAGAAGGAAAGACCAGCACCGCCCCTGTGGCAGGTGGTGGCACTACGCAGAGCACAGCCAGCAACACGGTCAGCGTGCAGCTACCTCAGACGCAACAGCACCATAGCCACCCCAACACAGCCACTGTTGCACCTTTCATGTACAGGTAAGATTGCACTTTCTTGGAGTATCTTGTCTAAAGTATGTGGTAGTGAATCTCAGTTTCACCTGCCTATATCACCTACATGCAATAATGAAAGCAAGTAATGATAATTTATAGTCAAACACCATATATTAAAAAATCCTCTCTCTCTCTCTCTCTCTCTCTCTCTCTCCTCTCTCTCTCTCTCCCTCATATATATATATTCATATATATATATGTGTGTGTATATGTGTGTGTGTGTGTATATATATATATTATATATTATATATATATATATATATATAAAATATATAAAATATACATATTTTTATATATGTTGCATATTCATTCTGTTGTATATGTGATCATATATGTGAACTTATTCCACATGTTTGAATTAATATGAATCGGTGTATAACCTGGCTCTATGTTTCCAGGGCTGTGTAAGATTATAAAAAAATGGAGTGTAGCCTGCAAGCTAGTTCAGACAGGCAACTTGAGTTGCATTGCGTCATACACTCTAACATGCCTCACTTTGATTACATCGTGTACCAGATACGCCTTCACAATTTGGCGATCCATTTAAGCTGCAAACTTTCCAATCTTCCCCCCCGACAGAAAGGGCTGTCCTGTATTGCACATGCTGTTTGAACCTCTCCACCACTCTAGCATCCACATGTAGGTTCTCAGAGTGATGTTTATTTAGCCCTGCTCAGTTTTATGTGTAACATATTTGCAGGGGGGCTTGAAACCAAACTCTTAACTGGACAGCGTGTGTGTACTATGTCCTGTCTGCCATCCCTTCACCCCAATTGGTCGTGGCAGATGGAAACCCCTCCCTGAGCCTGGTTCTCCTGGAGGTTTCTTTCTGTTAAAAGGGAGATGTCCTTCTCACTGTTAACAAATGCTAGTTCACAGGCGGTCATCTGATTGTTGGGGGTTTTTTTGTATTATCGTAGGGCCTTTACTTTATTCAGGCAATTCTCGTTGTGATTTGGTGCTATATAAATAAAATTGGATTGGTTTGGGGGTTTTTTTTTTCACCAAATACAAAGTTTTTCAAAGTTTTGTTTGAGTATTTGTCCATCTCTAAATTGTTAAACAGTAATCTTTAATATGTTCAGGTTCTCATATTTTGCCTGCCTGTTTGTACACGTGCATCTGGGCAAATATGTGTAGATGTTGTGCGCCCCTGACCTCTGTCCTGGTCGCAGTGTGATAAGGAAGGAGGTCCCTCATGCGCTCAATAAGTCTTTTCTAACAACCACTCATTAACTTCCTGATGCTTCCTGTGCTGCTGCCCTTTCTCCCTGTGTACATTCTGACCTATAGTTAACAACCCAACCGCCAAAAAATGCCTCCATTATCAGCACTTTGAAACTTCCTCTTTTGCTGTCAGGTACCATTACAAGCAGGATTATACCGCCTCCACCTGTCAGAAAGATTATGTTTGAAAGTAAATTAGAAGAATTAAAAACATACGATCAATGCTGATGACCATTAACTTAAAACAAAGCACACTGGTAGAAATTAGTTCAAGGAAAAGATATGGAAATAAGCTAAAGTTTAACCCTGTATTAGGTTGGTTAGTCAGAAGGTCGAGAAGAGTTTCCATGCTGCCATTCTCTGTACAACAGTGTGAGTCTGAAGCAGTCAGTGGTTTTCATTGTCTGGTACACAGAGCAAGTAGTCAACAAGGACAAAGTCTGGAATCGGGCAAAGACCGCAGGCTGCATATGAGCAAAGCTTTCGAATGTCATCATTTCAAAACACTACCGGTGGTTCAGCTGTATCGATTTATCCTTCAAAGGCAAACTTTTCTGGTGTGCGGGGATTAGCAGGCATTCATTTTGGACTACAGTCACAAGACTTGAAACACAGCAGATTTAAATCTTAATCGGGTTTATCCCTCTTTCGTGACAATTTGCTCAATATTAGGTTCCCACTAAGTGCACAATAATTCAGAATCGATTTGATCTGTTGCACAATTTATTTTCCAGATCCCAAACAGACAGCGAGGGAACAGTGACTACTGAGACCGATTCAGGAGGCAGAGGTGGAGACATTTCCTTCACCAAGACCAGCCAGACATCCATCGAGGACCTTTCAGGTCGGCGATCAATGGAAATATGTAATCTTTCTGGTTCAGCATAGAGAAATTATGTTCTTTAAATTGTTTTTTGTTTTTTGTTCTTTTTTATTGTGCTGGTCAGGTGAAGACCCAGAGACCAGGCGGTTGCGTACTGTCAAAAACATAGCTGACCTGCGGCAAAACTTAGAGGAGACCATGTCCAGCCTCCGAGGAACTCAGGTCTCACACAGGTACAGTGATTGGCACTGCGCTCTGGCTCATCCCACATAGTGTTTTTCTTGATATTGAGCAATTCATTTTTCACTGAGCTTGTTAGGAAAACAGTGCTTGGAGGGAAGTTTATATGTGAACAAACACTTACTATCTGAACAGCAACTGAAGTTTCTTACAATGCTGTTATGGTTGAGTGGTAAATCATCTAAATCACACTCATTTTTTGGTGGATTTGAATCAGTCTTGTGGTCAGTAGACTGTGTCTGTCTGTGTTTAACAGGTATTACCTCCTTTTTTTCTTATAGCAGTCTTATCCTTCTTTTTAGGGATCTTTTACTTTGATCGTTGGGCATGTCTTTGATGCTTCTGGCTTAGCTCTAATCACATTCCCTCCTACAGAGTTGTGACCTGTGCTCTGGTCTTATGTGTCAGTGCTGACCCAACTGTCTACATAGTTTATACTCTGCTCTAAGGTCAATAAATCTGTTGTTCATAAATGAAATTGTGCAATTTGATGCTTTTTTTTTCTCCAGTGCTTCTCTCTGTTCCATATTTCCAGATCCTAGGAAAAGAATTCTTGGCATTTGGTGTAGTGATTGGCCACTTGCTTACTGCTTCAAAAGGCACATTTTTGAATGAAATGTTATCAGAAAACATTAATGTGTGCTCTCAACTTGTCTTGCCTTCATTGTATTCCGCTCAGCACCTTGGAAACCACCTTTGACAGCAGCATTACCACAGATATCACCGGCGGTGGCGGCACAGGCAGTGGCAGCAGCAATAGCGGAGGCGGTCGAAGCATCCTCAGCCTTACATCTTCCCGCCCCTCACTATCCTCGTGGCGACTGGGCCAGTCTAGCCCTCGTCTTCAGGCGGGTGATGCCCCCTCTATGGGGAATGGTTACGGTGGCCGTGTGGTTGGTGGCCAGGGAGGACGCTACCTTTACCCCGGGAACCTGCGGCGACAGCTGGCTGGCAGGGGAGGAGCCCTGTGCAGCGTGGACCTGGGAGACAGAGCCGGGGAAGACGTCGACCTTGATGGAATCCCAATGGAAGTCACGGGATACATGAGCGATGGAGATGTGCTGAGCAAGAATGCTGTGCGCACTGATGATGTGACCAGTGGGTAAGTGAGTCTTTTTTAATCAGACACATGTGTTATCAATACAGAAACTTTTTGCCAATAAATCCATTACTGGCAAAAAGTAGTATAGTATAGATACTCTTGGTTAACAAGAGTATCTAGAAACTTTCACTGATTCTAACATCTTCACCGGGAGGATTTTCAGCATTTCTCTGTTCTGTCATCGTCCATGCATCATCTTTTGTTTCTGTATTGTTGTTGGATTAAACAGGAAAAACATGAAAACCTGTTGGAAAGATTTTGCAGCATTTACTAATACTGCATTACAGTTCACAAAAAGTTGAGTTATAGTGAATCTGGGTAAGTGCAGTATTTATGTGACAAAAACATATTTGCAATATTTCCCAACCCCAAAAGATTACTGGTAAATATTCTAATAACTCTGATGTGCTCAAACATAAAAAAAAACATATGAAAATGGATGCCATGCTTATATAATATGACTTTTATGGCTGAGATGTGACAGTTTGGTCTCTCAACAATGCGAGACTTGTCTTTAATGTAGGCTTACCACAGGAGGGCAGTAGTGTTTCTTGACTGTATATGTGCAACCCAGCTGACAGATGGTCTCCATAGCACAAGTATCATTTATTCTAATCTGTACAGTGAAAATCCCACAAGTTTGCAGTCTTTCAGTGTTTCAATGCTGTTGTCCTGATAACCTGGTTATTTTTCTCTTTGAAAGCCAGTGACCATGTTGTAGCAGGCCCCTTGCATACCTTGGCTGACACACAATTTAAAGTACTGTTGTCATCATTATTATCAGATGAAGCCATAAAAGGCACCAAATCATCTTCAGATGGAATAGGAAGTTGGAAAACAAGAGATCAGGGTATTTGTTCAAATTCTGTGTAATGTTAATACGAATGAGATTTCATAAAAGCAGTGAAGGTGATTTAAAAAACAAAACAAAAAAAAACATGCCTCTTAAAAGCTGTGTGGAAATTACTTCATCTAGCCTGCATAGATCTGGATCACCATAGTCACCAGCCCCGAGGCACCTTTAGAAAGCCAGAGAGCAAAGTACTGTTGAACTACTTGATATATCTGAATCTGTGACTAAGCAAACCAAGCCAGGCCACAGCCACACCTGGACAGACGAGTGACGTGTACATGTGAGCCGAGACATTATCTTATTCAAAACACTTTATATCGGTAAGAACCATGAATAAGACAAAAATCATATGCCACGTTTATATTTATAATTAATAAATTATACTTTTTTTCGACAAACTGATTCATCAGTTTAGTCTTTAAACAAAGGAAATCAACATCATCCTCATGTTTTAGAAGTAAATGATGGTAAATGATCATATACCCATCATTTCAAAAACCTTTGTGTCATTTGCAAGCTAGATTGGATCAAACAGATTATGTAGAGAGTAAATTGAGCTGGATTTGATGTTTAAATGGTGCCTTTTTGTCTGTGTGAAAAACATGCTTGTGGTGTGTATTTGGTCTCAGCTGTCTGATCTCTATGGATGATGTGACGGATGGCTGGCAAAATGAGCTTTTATTCAAATGGGAACATGCTGACTAGATTATATTCTTTGTGTTGGGGCGAAGGGGGTGGGGCGGGGGGGGATTGCAGTGTGTGTGTGTGTGTGTGTGTGTGTGTGTGTGTGTGTGTGTGTGTGTGTGTGTGTGTGTAAGAAAGGAACTGTGTAGGTACAGCCATGTGGGTGTGTGGGCAGTCTTCCTCTGGGTTAACCATTATTCTCGACATCATCAGGCTATTTAACGATTAGCTCCATTCCAAGCATGTTAGCGTCCACAAACTAACAGGTTCTTCTGCACAAAAGTGGTATGTTTACCCAGAGAGGAGGAGCTGGCTTTTGGATTAGACCAGTAAACTCTCACACCGCAAGTCTTTGTTACCTCTTAAATGTTAATTAAATCTGAAATCACACGAATTACAAAAGGTGCTTTTTTTCCTCTCTTATCTGTATGGCACGCAGACTCTTGGGGTTGATATTTCTCTGAGCTCCTGGCTTCCAACACAATGTCATTAAGGCTTATGGAATTTAATTTGTGGCCTTCATGGTGAAAATATTATTTGTCCCTGTAAGAGTGAACAATCCACAAAGATCTCTCTGTAAAGTTGCCCCTAATTAATTCTAGAAAGTGAGATGTTCATAGCTATGAACAACTCTGATACAATTTCTACTTCTGCAACCAAAACAGTTAGAAACATTACTTGAACTAATTCTTTAACGCCTGTAACAATATTTAGTAGCATAAAATAGCTGTTAAATAGCAATATATAATAATTTATAACATGTTTTAATTTTCTCTTGCGTTTTTAATTAAAACATTTGTAGTGTTGGGGGAGTATGAACCAGTATAATATTCTGCAGCTGCTCTTTAGAGCTGTCCATGTCTCACATGCAGGCCAGTTAGTTTTTGGGACACCAATAACATTCCTGCTTTGAAAGGGATACCTTCACTGAACATGTGTCCCTGCTAATGAACACAAAACATATGAAGTGAGCCAGAGCAGATGAGCTAATGCTAATCTGGACATTTGCTAAGTAAGCACAGTGAAAGTCACCTTGAATTTATTATATCAATAAGTCCCCACAAACATACAAATTTTTGGGTCAGCCCCTAATTCTGCTAGAAGTCTCTGCCTGTTAAAAGGGAGTTCTTCCTTCCCACTGTTGCCAAAGGCTCTCTTGGTGGTCAAGAGCAATCAGTGGTAAATAGCCATAACAGTAAAACAATTTATAGCCAAATATAAAAAATAATTATTTAAAAGACATCAACCTCCACATTATATTTACTGGGGTCCAGTAACTGTATTTGTCTTTTTATCTGTTTTCAAAGCCTCAGGTATTTTTTTTGTCTTGCTGTTTTACATTTTATGGAAAAAATATTGCGATAATGTTGGGAGGTAAGTCAACAATGAAAACAAGTTGCAGCTCTAGAAATGTCTAAGGAATCTACATTCTTGATTGCTTAGAAACGTCTTGAGACATAACAGGTAATTTATTTAGCATACACTCAATCCTAGTAGACAGGCAGTGTGACTGACGGCACCACTTTTACTATTTACAGTGGGGGGTTTTTATCAGTCACCAATCACCCCCACCCCCTTCTCTTTTTTTCCCCTTTCGCTATCTCTGCTCATGGAAATGTGGGGATCTGTCTCCTTGGCTCAGGGCTATGTGGCTGATATACCACTCCCCCCACTCCAATTCTTCCCTCCTCTCCCTCCTCCAACCTTTACAGACAGACCCAACCTCCATTCAGGAGAGAAAAACATGTGGAGCAGGGGAGCGAGACTGCATATCAACACTGAGTTTTCACAGAGCAGGACACACTAACAAACAGTCAGGCTGCACCTTAGTATATACATGGAGAGTTGCTGGGTGCTTTGCATTTATCTCTGATATCACCAAACAGGTTTTCACCTGGTGATATCACAGCAGATCTCACACACACACAGGACCAGACTTAGTAACAGCAGACAGAAGAAGCCAGACAGTAAAAGACAGTTGACATTTCTTTGGAGATTTTCATCAGCAAAGATCAACACACACCTGGACTTGTTTATTTTTCTTCGGACTAACTGTTTAACCATGTTCAAGGCAGACAGGTACGTCTGAGTGGAGTAGGAGCTGTAACTCCTGTTTGTTTGTTTGTTTTTTCCGTAGTGTGACAATATGGGAGTTAACTCCTGTCTGTACCATAGTGCATGCATTGTTAGTGAGTCAAATATATCTGCAATGTCATTTACCCACGACTCTCTCTTTCTGTTAGTTGCTTGACTGTGTAAACTGTACCTGGCTGTTCAGTGTCAGCCCATAAAGTGTCTTGTTTGGACACGTTTCTCCTGCTGCAGAGGGTTACAGGTTAACAGGCGTCTGAAACAAGAGGAGAGGCCCTCAGTTAGTTATTAGTGTCAAGGAGTAACTTGTCAATCAGGAGTTTTGCTTATGTATGTGAGTGGTTGTGTGTGTCACCGTCAAGGTGACTTTGTGTTGTGATGACGGATGCTTCCCATAAAGGGCAGCAAATCCCCCCCATCCAAGTTTGTCCGTTGTCAAAAGAGAATCCCAGTACCTTCAGTGTCTGTGTCTTTTGTTGTTATGAAAATCTATCACTCAAATCATATCTGGGCTATGTTGTCTCTATGATTTATTTTTTATTCTTAAACATATCCCATTAATTTGTTTGATATTTAGTAATCCATGGGTCATTTGGTTTAATGTTGACAGTTTTATTTATTTATTGCTCAAAATGTTGATAGGCACCAGATGATTTTAAATCAGTAGCATCAGCATATGGGCCATTACCATGTTGTTGTTGTTGTTGTTTTTTATCCAGGGTTAGTGCATCTGGACAAAGGGATGAAGCGCTAATTTATGAATTATGGGTAGCAAGTCTTGTTACCAAGCAGCAGCAGGATTTGTGTGGGTGAAACTGCTAATTAACACTAATTTAAAGACTAGGAAAATACTACAATTCTACATCTTGGATAATCTTTTCCACACAACAGACTGTTTTATTTGTCAGCTGTTATTAAAAACCAACAGAAATTAGAAGAGGTTAGACCTAGCAGCCAACAGCTCCCTTTTGGCACACCTGTCAGTTAAAGCAGTCGAACACCCAACTTTAAGCCTAAGTAGTGGATTGGATAGTAAGTACAGATGGACTGAAAATCAGAGTGAAAGAGAGAGGAAGACATGCAGCAAAGAGCCGCAGGTGGGATTCAAACCTTGGCCGCTGTGTTCTAGCTATGCAGCATGTAGTTGCCTGCTCACGCACTGATCTACTATCCAGTTTATATCCAATAATATAATACCGGTATGTTCTCTGTGAATACTTTATGTATGTTTTTGTTTTTTAACCAGGCAGCCTTTTAATGCTGTTTAGCTAGACATGTTGACATTTGGCATCCTTGAGGACTGATTGACATTTGTGGCCTGCTTAGAGTGGCTCTTGAAGGAAATGCAGTTTTTGGACTTTCTGAGTTTAGTTTTATTTCTCAAACCTGAAGGCTACTGCTGCATATCACTGCATTATAGCTCAAAAGGCACGGGATTTACCAATACCAGTGTTTCATGGTTACAAAATCTGATATATAGGCCAATATTTTTTTTCTTTTATACACATGGAGCATGAACAGTTTTCCTTAACATTTATGATATGTGTGATTTGATTCATTACTAAGATAATATGACATTGCAGTACAAAAGCAAATTGTAGACAAATACTAAATGCTATTAAAGTAATAACTGATAAACACTTGGTCTATAAAGATACATTGTCCATATCAGTGCAATCCTTCCAACCAATGCCTGCAGATGCCGGCCGCCAGAGGCGGAGCCAGACATTTGAAACACCCGGGGCTTAGCCCTAAAGGGTGGTATGCATGTGGGATTTTTTTTTTTTTGGGGGGGGGGTTAGAAATGACTGAAAGATTAATTGGCTCTGTTTTGAGTTTTGTTCAAAAAAGAATGACTTCATATAGGGAAAAATATATATCACATATGCAGGACACCTTAAACTAGTTTTTTAATTAAGCAGCAAGGCAGAACAAAGTCGGGGCTGTATCAAGACACGAGGACTAAACCCCAATTCAACCAGACCCAGAACTGATCCAGAATTAAAACAGGACTACAACAGTTCAAAATCAGGACTACTTAGGATTTAACCAAGACAGAACCAGAATCAGAACTAGATGATAGTAGCACTAAAAATCATCATAGACCTGCACTACACTTGTTTTTTAATTCTACCAAAGTCCACTATTTAGATTGAGAAACGTTTATATAATTATTTAGCCTTGTTGTGCAAACAAGCCTGCATAACTTAATAAATATAGAATTTGAAAAATAGCAAACCTAAAAAGAAACACTAGGTACGAGATACATGAGTACCTATGATACGGTGATACTTTTGGTAAACAACCATTTGACTAACATGTGTCTCACCTGCTCTTGTTCCATCTCTGTCCTGTCCTCATTCTCCTCTCTCTCCCTCTCTGTTCCTCTCTCTCCCTCTTTGTGCTGACAGTCATCAAATATACAGTTGAAACCAGATATTTACATACTCTTCAGATCAAAACACAAACACTTTTTTAATTGTAACATCAAATTAGACTAAATGTTTATTTTTTTAGATTGATAAATATAAAAAACATATTTGTTAACTTTAAGAGTAAAGAGAGAAACTATCTGTATTTCTTAATTGCAAATGGCACCAAATTGTATTCAAAATTGAGCCACACTTATGGAGCTCCACGATTCTTTTTCTGGTGTTTTGGTTGACATCTCTGGATTTTCCCTTTTTAAAGAAACAGGCTCCGTGTTTTGCCTTATATGCATCCACAGCTGTGCCACCAATTTACTCACATGGACTCTACGAACCTATCAGAAATGGTAAATGGCCTGTATTTGTATAGCGCTTTTCTAGTCCCTAAGGACCCCAAAGCGCTTTACACAACCTGTCATCCACCCATTCACACACACATTCACACACTGGTGATGGCAAGCTACATTGAAGGCTACACAGAAGCTTCTTCAGCTCAGAATGGAATCGTCTGGAGTTTCTTATTAATTAACAATAAACTTAGTGTACATGTACTCCTAAATTTGATGAAAGTGATAAAAAATAGACAGCTCTGTCTCTCTTTATTCTGACATTTAACTAATTCAAAAGATATTTCAATATTTATTTATCCAAAACAAAACAAGTTTACTCTAAATTGATGTTATACAGTAAAAAAAAATGTTCTTGTGTTTTCCATAAAGTGTATGTAAATATCTGGTTTAAACTGTGAATATACTGCTGTGTATTGAAGTTCCTCTTGTTTTGCATAGAAATATACTGAACAACATACAAAGCATAATATATAAAATACTACCTGAGTTTTTTCTTTGAAAGAAGCTCCTCATGTCCATTCTTGTATATCAGTGCATTACTGAAACCGATTTATTTAGCCGTGGAGGGTAACAACTGAAAATATGACATAAACACACATGTAAGCTGAGCCTCTCTAAAGAAACAGCATTGTTGTTGTTCGGCTTTTCATTTCGCCATTTCTTGATTCACTTGAAGAGCAGGTAACGTAATATTGGTCAAGTGATCAGTTTGATATCAATCTTTCGTGATACACCGTCATATTTACATTATTTGTACAGTACGAATGATTTGCTTTGGTACCTGGTCAAACTTCAGTTCTCCTCTGTCTGCCTAGCTCCGTTTCTCCAACAGCGCACTCGTAGGCAGCAGCTGCCCCGCCCCGCTTAGTGCCTGAGCTCGGATCATACCAATATTAGGGGGGATTTACGCACAGTGTGCACTATGTGCTTCGAATATTGTGTGTAGTTTTTTGCTTTATACAGTTGTCAGCCTATGAAAAAATTACACTCCAAAAGACCCCGGGCTTCTGAAAAAACACCCCGGGCTTATGCCCAGTAAGCCACCCCCCCGCTACGCCACTGCCGGCTGCCCTTCCCTGGGTCTGGTTCTTGTAGAGGTTTCTTCCTGTTAGAAGGGGTTTTTCCTTTCCACTGTTACCAAATTCTTGCTTATAGGCGGTGTCGTCTGATTGTTGGTTTTCTCTGTATTAATGTACAATATGAAGTGCCTTGAGTGTTAAATACATTGAATTAGTGCATATTTAGTTTAGTTTTATCACTTGGCAATTCATAATACATTACTACCAGACAACTTTTAAAAAAGCTTGTATAATTCTCTCTTCTGGTTAAGAAAGTATAACATTTGATACTTTTCAGGTTGGTTACTTAGACACAGTTACATTTTCATGCTGGTGGGGTACAGCACACAGAATCTGCTTTCGTGCTGATTCCATTTGAGTCACATACAAAGAAGCTCTGTCTGTACGAAACACTGTACTGTGTGTATACTGTATACACATTTAGGTACAAATGCGCGTTTGTCTGTGCGTGCAGGGTTTCCTCTCACCGAGATCTACATTGAGATAACGCATAACTGTTTTAGTGGTCGCGCTTTTGCTAGGCTTCTTTCTCTACTCACATCACTGCATACACAGAATCATCAAAACTTCAACGTTAAACCAGCAAACATCTCATTAAATTACACCCGGGTTAAAGGAGTCAATATTTAGTTCCATTAGGAAGCTCCTCCACAGGTAAATATTTGGGGAATTAGTTAGTGTTGTTTTAGTTTGAATGGGAATGTTTATGTAAGTGCTCATGGCCTCAGCGTTAGCCACAGGCTGTAACTGCTGCTCACTGAGCCTCCGAGGCCAGCAAGCAATAAATTGAGTCCTTTCAAATATAATTTTCCGTTACGAAATGAAGTGAATGCCCTACTTAGCCTGCACATATAAATACAGTACAAGTATTTTTAGCTTCTTCTAATGCTTAGTTACTCAGTCAATCATAATATTCCAGTCTGGTGCACTGATGGTCTCAGTATTGGTAATGAATTGCAATGTGCTTCCTGTAGACATAGAGAGCAAACTGTCTTCTAAGCAGTTTTTTCTTTTAAAGGCCACTGTTGTTGAACACTAGCCACATGAGAGAAATGTGTCCTTAGTTAGTTTGCTGTCTCCAGTGTTGATGTGGGAGGTTTTTGCTCTATTTAAGCCTGACTGATGAGAGCTTCACCTCAGCCAGAGAACTACATGGATGTGGCTTCCTGCTCAGTAAGACATTTATAACAAAAGCAGCCCCAGCAAGAAGACAAGTGTCTGTTAAGTCGCCCCATTATCTCAAACAAAGTGGCGCAACCTCAAATCATCCTCTTTGAGGTCTGTAATTATATATGTCAGAGTTACTTATTTCTAATACGTTTTGGTTGTCTCTTGCAGCTACATGACTGATGGAGGTTTGGGATTGTACACTCGGCGCCTTAACCGCCTTCCCGACAGCATGGCTGCCGTTCGAGAGACGCTCCATCGAAACACGTCATCGGGACAGGGAGATGCTGACAGGTAGGTCTGAAATATCTTACCTGCTTCTTCTCTTAAACTTCTCTTAAGCTGTGTTGCAGCTTAATATCTTTAAGTGATCAGTTCAACTGAGTTTCCAATCTATAGGCTCCATTTCTCAGGAGGCCTTTATACACCTGCTATCGAATGCACTGAGCTTGATGTGTTTGTCTGAATGAAAGACACATAAATATAACTAGCCGGTCACTTGGCTCATGTCTCTGGTTGCAATGCTTTTTGCTTGTTTCCTGCTGTCACTGTAGAAAATGTAAATTTATTATCCTGCAAGTGAAGGTGGCATGTAGAGATATTGTGTTGTTCTGGGACAGGGAAATATTCAATGAGGTCATCCTGAGGTGTGGCACAAAAACAGTGCGTCTGAATGAAATTGCGAAACTTCTTGACCATGGGCTAAACAAGGTGTTTTTACACATGCAGGTCGAAAAATTCACTCGAACCGTGAAGGATACACAAAAATCAGTCTCTGATTAAACACTTGTTAAGGTGGCCTAGTTTCCGCTTCTTCACATGCATTTCAGTGAACGACTGAAAAGCAAATGCACAGTTACAGCATTCACTAGAAAATGTCTGCTTTTACCCATATTAATGATAAATAAAAACACACAGAGCGATGCACATTTTCGGGTGGATTTGATTATACTCGTTCAACTACACAGGACATAATGCAGCGAGCTTTGCGGACACCACACCGCTAATGTACGTAAACTCATCCTAAACGCAAGTTTCTGTGTTATTGGGATATGTGGGCCACAACAGTAAAATGAGAATATCACTTGAATATTTTTATATCTGCGGGAATTTCTGAAGCGTCTCGTTTCAGTGCAAGTAATTTGGTGAGACGTTGCCGTCTTTGTCCTGTCATCGAGCCGTAGAAGGATTTTTGTTTTCTGGCAAGTTGACAGAAGGAAATGAATGAAGGCTGAGCTGAAACCATGTTACCAGATAGTGATGGGGGTGGTGGAAAGAAAGAGAAATAGGTTGGGGGGATGGAATGAGCTTGTTATGAAGATGAACTGCAGAATGGATGAAGGTGGTAATGAGAGTAAGGGATAAATCGTGTGTGACAAAGGGGACTATACTATAGCTTAAGATGCAGCATTGGTCTTCTCAACAGTATCCCTTTGTCAAGAAAATGTCTATATTTGTGCTTCGGTGAAGTGTAGAAAACAAAAGCTTTTAAACCTTTTTAATTTCTTCACTCTTAAGTGGATGTGTTGTGTTGCTTTGAGGGTTTCAAGTAGTCTTTGTCCATAAATCCTCAGGTGTGGCTAATTTCCTGTCTGCCAGACTTTTGACCTTCGCCCCCTTGCTACCTTTTACTCTGTGTACACACACACACACACACACACACACACACACACACTGTCCTTCACATTAAACTGCTCCAGCCCTCAGGTGGGCCTTAAAACAAACTGTCCTCCTTCTCACCTTTCATCTGTCCCCTCCCTATCATCCTCCTCCTTCTCTCTTTACTCCATCTCTCCTCTCACCTCTTATTTTTCCTCTTCTAAGTTGTTTTGATTAGAGTGCAGCAATGAGAAGAAACTTAAAGGCAATAAAAAAGATAAGTCAGGGGGTTTCCCTTTTGTTTCCATTTGATTTTGTGCTTTAATGTTTCCAGCCTAATTTTTAGGTTCAAAAGATTAGAGAAAAATTCAGATGGGCTTTCAAGAGGAGATGAGGTGACTGCACTCCTCCTGCCCACACCTCCTTGCCCCTGAAGCTTTGTCTGATAAATGTGCTTACTACTTTTACTTTGAGATTAATTAAGAGAGCTGAAGAAGCAGCTCATGAAATATATTAGCATAATAAACAGAAACTAGTGGAGCTGCAGGATAAAGAAGGGTGACTGGTTTTCTCTTGTATAAGATAAAGCCAGTTTAATTCACAAAAGGAGGGTTAACAGTGCAATTTGGGGCTGGTGGAGGAGAACCAGCACCTTACTGTCTCTGTGTGTGCTTTGTACAGTTTATTTGCGAGTGTCACAGTTGAACATGTGATCTTAGAGGTATGTTTATCTATATTTATTTACTGGGTATGGTTGCCACCAGGCTGTAGTTGCCTTTAATGCATTTTCTGGTTTACAATGCAGCCGAGCCTCCCAGAGGAAGTCGGGCTGGGGGTAGGTGTCTAGTGTTGTTGTGGCACCGGGGCAAAATGCTTGTGACCCCAGAACGAAGAGGTCACAAGCTTCAAAGGCCCGAGGTTCACAGTTAAGAGCGTTCCAAACGTCTTTAAGCTTCTGCGCTAAAACCCTCCAGATCAGGCCAGTGCCGGGCTAATAAGAAGTGAAGGATGCTGGAAAACACGGTATTGAACAGCATATTCTGACAACAGGGAAACCACACAAAGCAATTATGAGAGCGTCAGTTGTGGTCTGGCTGTTGGAAGTGCAAAAACTAGTTTGACCAACTGTCAGATGTATGCAAAGGAGAACATGGAAACAAAATGACTCATGGGAGAACGGGGCCTACTATCCTGAGCGTATAGACAAAGAAAATAGATGCTAGAAAGTGTGTGTGTGTGTGTGTGTGTGTGTGTGTGTGTGTGTGTGTGTGTGTGTGTGTG